GGAGGTTGTGTTTGGTTCCTGATGCTGGAAGGAGCGGAGGAGGGGAGGAGGCCGCTAGCCAGAGCCCATGGGGAGGAGGGAAAGGGTTGAGGAGGGGGGTTGGACTAAATGACCTACAAGGTCCCTTCCAACTCTGATGATCTCCTGCTCTTCTGGGCAGCCCAGCAGGCAAGAAGGCTGGTCTAATAACGGGGCTCCCTTGTTATCCTTCTGCTCCTCCAGCCTTCTTCCCCCCTCCTGGGGGAAGGAGAGTAAAGAGGGGAGGGCGGGAAATGCTGAAAGTTGGGCGAGGGGGCCTGCAAGCCAGTTTCCTCCCGCTGGCAAACCAGACTGTTCCCAGAGAGGTGAGCAGGGAGAGGGCTGGGGTCTTCAGGGGTCGGGAGAGGGGCTGCCACATACAAGCCTTGGTGCGGCTGAAGCGGCCCGGTTCGTCTGTCAGGAGGTAATCTAACCACCACATCGCGCAACGGTCCTGCCTGGCATTGGAGAGAGAGAGATGGCAGTTAGAAGCAAGGAGGCAGCCTCACCGCTCTGGCCCCGAATCCCACCACCATCTCCCTCCAGAAGAGCAGCGCCCTTCCCAACCCCCCACCAGCAGAGCCTGGCAGCTAAGCCCCCTTACTCGGGGCAGGTGGAGGTGATGTCCAGGTACCGGTCTTCCGTGGGCATGACCCAAGTCTTGCACATCTTCATGACCTGTTTTTCCTCTTTAAACCAGCGGGTGTCGGAGGCCAGGCCGATGGTGAACCAGGTACCTGTGAACTTGGGAAAGGGGGAGAAGGGTTAGACAAGGAACACACAAACACACAAGCACAAGCACACAGACACACACACGCTGCCAAGGGACTCTGAGCCTTTCCACCCGCTGGCTCAGCTGCGGAGCCCACTGAGAGGTTGGTGCCCGGGTCAGGGGGCCGAAGGGCGCCCACGTCGGCACCCCCCTTACCTGATCTAGCTGGAAGTCAGCCTGGACGGGCATTTCGGCCTTTGCCTGGAGCAGGCAAAGGAGAGCCAAAGCGGCAGAGAACTGCGCCCGCATGCCGAGAAACTGGGGTGCCCGGGCTTTACCCGGCGTGGCGTCTCTGCGAAGGCTCCCCCAGGAATGGTCAGCCAGGAACCACATCCGACGGCTATATATATATTTACCGGCCAGCGCAGCAGCCGGTCAAGGGGCCACCTATGCTGGAGGCCGGCCTCTGCTTCCTTCCCCCCCTCCCGCCTCTTCCGGGCAAAATTATGCAAGCGGAAAGCGGGGGCGGGGGTGGGGGAGAAGGGGCAGCTCTTCTAGTGTCAGCCTGCAGGCCCACCAAGGAGACCCCCCCCCTGCCCCTCCCACCATCCGGGCTGTGTCAAAGTTGGACGGCCCCTCCCTCTCTGGCTCAAAGTGCAGGGCTGCCTCATTCAACCCAGCCCAGAGGAGGACGGACGGAGCCCCCCGGAAGGGCTGCCTGCCCACGGGCACCCAGGCCTTGGTAGCCCCTCACCCTGATGCCGAGCCCGCCTTTTGGGGGGGGGAGAAGGGGGGGCATTTTGCTGGTGGGCACTGCCTGTGTTTCGATCCCGCTTGGCAAGAAGTAGAGCGACAGCAGCAAGGCTGGGTCAGTTTGAAGGTCCATTCTGCGGTTCCCAGGCCACGAAAGCCGAAAACCCTTGCGCGGAGGGGGCTGCCACATTGGCCGTGGAGCAGGGGAGGATCTGGAGTCTTTCATGGAAGGGGCCGGACGGCTCCCAGCCCTCACTCAGCTCCCTAGTGATGTCCGAAAAGAGCGCCAAAGGGCAGACTGGCCGCAGAGTCTGTTCTCAGGCCCGGCTGGATGGGACAGCTGAGCTCAGTGGGGTGGCCAAAACGGCTGGAGATGAGCAGAGGCCGTGCTTGGGAAGGGAGGCAGGGAACAGGCACCCTAGTGGGGACTGATCCAGGCTGAACAAGTACCAGGCGGTGGCTGACCCTCCCTCAACGCAGCTCAGCCTGGCCAAAGGAAGGCCGGGCCATTGGCCACGCTCCAGCCCCTGCCCTTCCAGAAGGGGTCAGCCAGCGAGAGAGGACCATTGCCTTCGACGGACGGTGCCACCCGCTTTGGAGCCAGAGAGAGCCTTCCAGAACCAGGCTGGGGAGGGTGTGTGTGTGGGGGGACTTGGGTAAACACCATGCGCCGTGGGGGCTAGAACAGCAAAACAAGCCAGAGAACAGTCCAGGCAGGGGGCAGCCAGTGCTTTCCAGAACTGCTTTCTCAGCAAAAGCCAAAGAGACCGGCTCAGCCAGGAAGGCAGTGGGTGGGGCGCAGGGGCTCTGTGAGAAAACAGCGCTCAGGGGCTCCTGGGAGGGAGGGGGAACCTTTGGAGGGGGGCATCAGGCAGGAGAGGCACTGATCCCCCCCCCCTTTGCCAAAGAGCCCAGAGTTGGTTCCACCACGTACAGCCCAGCTCCCTTCCTGCCCCGTCCTCCCCGCCGGCCGTCCAGAAGGCTCTTAACACGGGGAGGGTTGAGGCAGCCATAAGGACTCAGGGGGTGAGTAGGGAGGGGGACTCATTACAGGCCCAGCTCTACCTTTCAGCCAAGCCGCTCGACCCTGCTTTTAGCTAACATTCCCCCCTACCGTTTCTTTTTTGCCCCCACCCCAAACGTCAATCATGTCAAACTGGGTTTTCTCATTTTATTTTCACGGGAACAAATGGAAGGGAAAACTTGGGCGATTTCAGCCCTCCTTTGTTGTCCACAGAGGCTGTTGGAGGGATCGCGCGTTGATTCCTTCTATCCTGTGAATTTCGTTTCTGGAAAAGCAGGAAGAGACAATACAGGTGTGTGTGTGTGTGTGTGGTGGTTTCGGAGGATCCACCCCTGAAAGGCCACTGCTTATACCCTCCTGGAGACACCCCCCCCATAAGCCCCCACTGCCCAGGGCAGGGCTTTGTACTGGTTGCCCATCGGCCAGTGGAGGAAGCCAAGCCAGGCCAAGGAGACGTTGAAGCCGCCAACTCACCGTCAAGGATGTGGAATTGGTCGGCCGAGCTGCAAAACCCTGCAAAAAACAACAAAAAAAGAACCCGGATGGAAAGAAAAAGCCAGATTAAATAATTCTGGTGTGTTCGTCCTCCCCTGCCAAGTCTCAGCCCAACCCCGGCTTCCTCCGGGCCCCGCCCTGCCCCTCCCACGAAGTGGCTTTCGAAGGCCTGCAACCGACGCTTTGCGACCAGGGCAAGGGGGCTGTCGCCGTCCAGGAGCTGCCTGGCTCTTGCATGGCCCGGGGAAGTGCAAATCTCACCCACACCCCCCCAGCAGCTGCGCACCGTAGACGGGGTAATAAAAGATGAGGTCGTCGCTGAAGCCCAGGGCTGTCATGGCAGCTTCGAACTTCTTCAGGATGCTATTTTCCACTTGTGCTGTCCGTCCTTCCGGGGAGTCCATGAAAGAGAGGGACATTAGGGGACCCCCCCAAGCGTCGCCCTCTCCTCCAGAGCTCGGCTGGTCAGGTTTCCCTACAGGAAAGGGTGGCTCCGGGACGCCTTGAGGAGCGAAGACCCCTCCTCAGGGTTTGACCAGCCTGGAAGGGAGGAGGCCATCCCAGAGGGGCGGCAAGGTAGCCCCCTTGTAACACAACACCCAGCGGGACCCCTCAGCCCCTCCCCAGTCCCCGGGGGTCAGAAAAGCCCACCGACCGAAGGCTACGGCTTTCATTCCCACCGTAAAGCTTGGCTGAGATCTTGCGGTTCTTTTGGAAGTAGAGGATGGCGTGGCTGCTATAGTCCGTCTCTCCCACCACCACGTCCACAGGGGCAGCGCGGCCTGGAGGGTGGGGGCGGGGAGAACCACGGAGAGATGAAGGGACCGTTTGTCCCTGCAAGGGCCAGAGGGCAGCTGGCTCTTCTCCACTCCGGCCTCTCACCTTTCAGGAGGAAGCGGCCCGGGGCCTTGCCAGCAAAATAGTTCTGCTTGATGTTCCAGCAAATCCCCTCCCTGCAGAGACGAAGGCGGCGTCAGCCCTCTGAGGCTGGACAGACAGATGGACAAAAGGACTGTATCCGCCCCAAAATGACCCACGTCGTCGGGACCGTTGCAGACAGATTCCTGCAAGCCTTAATTGGTCCCTCCCCTCCTTCCTGACTGTGAACTAGCGAGGGACCTCTTGGAAATGTAGTCAGGCTGAGCCCCACCCCAGATGCCCCGTCCTGAGTGCAGGCAGGGTCCCCAAAAGACTCACAGAGGCCGGAAGGTGCTAAAGTGCAGCGAGTCCCTGTCCCTCACCGACACAACCACGTTGGTGGCCTCCACCTGGTAGCCGTTTTCACGCAGGTAAAGGCAATCAGAGGCCACTCCCACCAGGAACCACTTCCCTGCAAACTAGAAAAGGGGGGAGATGTCCATCTTGTCTTTCCCCCCCCCCCCGCTAACCCCCCCCTCAGTGGATTAGAGGCTGCGTGGCTGGGTTTCCTTGCACTGTTACTGCGACTCCCCCCACACCGCCAGCCTCAGCCCCAAACCACACTTAAAACGTGGCACGCTTGCCAAAATTAAGCCTAAGAGACCAGTTCAGGGAGTCATATTCTTAAAATGCCATAGGCGCCGGCCATTTTAAAATAAACCCCGTTACTCTTTTATTTGCCAAAACAAGATGGCGTATAGACTCCTCTGAGGTGAACAGAGCTCGAAAAAAGCTTGTAACGCTTTTATTTCAGATTTGATCGTAACGAAAGCTGGAGAGGAAGAGAAGAAGCGTATTATATCAGCTCTTCTGCCCGGAGAGACCTCCCTCTTATCAGGGGAGCCACCTTCCTTGCACTGGGGCCGTTTTTGTCAGGAGTTGGCAGGGAGAGTGGAACTGAGCCAACGGAACTGATAAGGAACCGCCTAACAAGCGTGCAGCTTAGGGTGTCTGCTAGATTCCCGGAAAGGCCTTTGTGGGTGGGAGTAGGAGGACAGGCCCTTCCGAAAGGCAGCTGAGCCACGGAGGTGAAACTGAAGGCTTGTGGGCAGCCAGGAGAGAGGAGAGCTGCCCCCCAAGACGGAGTCCGCTACCTCTTTGCCATCTCAGAGCAAGTGGGGAGGAAGCTCAGGGCTTGGCACCCACCAAATGAAACCCCCCCTCCCTCTCCTCCTCCCCCTGCTCACCCGGGTGGGATCAAACCCTTCCTGGGCGCTGATCTTGTCGATGGGGCTCTGGGAAGGTTTGGGCCGCCGGGCCCAGGAGGGCGAAGCCAGCAAAAGCCCAGCCAGGAGGAAGACAGCGATGGCAGCCATGGTGGGACGGCAATGACCGGCGACGCTCGGGGCGCCCTTGGGTACAGGCGGGCGGGCAGGCAGGCTCCCAGTTAGACATTAATCAGGCTTCCCAGAAAAAGGCCCCTGGGGAGGTGCCTCCTGTTGCTGCTGCTATCGCATCAGAGCCCCAGAGCCAAGGACAGTGCTGTATTCACAAAGGGACAGGCTGCGGGCTCCAACCTGCCCTGGGATTTGCAAGGCAGCCTCCCAGAGAAGCCGTAAGCTCCCTCTGGATGCTTGCAAAGGCCTTCTTCTCCTTAGACCATTCAGCCAGTTCTGAACCAGTTCTGGAGAACCAGCAGCGGAAATGTTGAGTAGTTCAGAGAACCGGCCAATCCCACCTCTGACTGGCCCCGCCAACCCCATCCCTTCTCCGCCTTCCATCGAGTCCCAGCTGATGGGCTGGGTCTACTTTGGTTGCCCTGCACAGGAGAACGGAGCTGAAAAGCAGGTCAGTGGGGTGGGGAGGGAAGCGGGATTTTGCAGTATATCCTCCCCCTGCCATGACCACCAAGCCACGCCCACCAAGAACCACCCACAGAACCGGTAGTTAAAAAATTTGAATCCCACCACTGACTTAGACCCTAGAACAATAAGGTTGAAAGAGGCCGTGCCCAAGACAAGGAGTCCTTACAGCATTACAGACAAATCGCTGCCCAATCTCTTCTTTAAAAACCTCCATTGATATTATTCTGTATCTTTGTTATTATAAAAGCCTTAGGAATAATATTAATAGTTAAACGGGAGGCCCGGAAGCTGCACGGCAGGCGGAGAAGAGGGAAATTGGCTTCAAAAGTTTTTTTAAAAAAAATGATTTCAGCACTAACGCTAAGGGACAGAAAAGAGTGCCCTCGTGTGGTCAA